GGGGGGGGGGGAGGGGGAATGGACAGTTTTTCCAGTGCTGGGAAGGTGTGATTATGGGAAAACTGTCAGACCTAAGATATTCCTATTGCATGTTGGCTAAACCAAAAGTTATCGGTCTCTTTTCATAAAGAAAAACAACAACAACAAATGGAAAAAGTTACCAATGAGCGTCACTGAACAGTTTTCCATTCACTTTACTCTGTAAATCAGACCCCTGCCAAACATTGTGGACAGCGCAAGTTCAGTCATTCTTTGAAAGTGGACGAAGCAGGGTTTGTTTTCAACGAAAATCGGTAAGAGCTCTTTCGATAGCCTTGATGGTTAAAAAAAAGCTAAGGTTTCGACTGTTATAACCCATAGAATTGTCTGGCACAATTTATACTAAAATTTTGACTCCTAACAACTGCTCGGCAATGCAAAATACTCAGTCTTTTGCACAGAACATAGAATATATATCTAAAAAAAAAAAAGAACCCACCACTTACCAGTTCATCTGCTCTTTTAGTCTCACAGTGCTTCCTATTGAATTGAAAATATGCGAGAGCCGCTGAGTAAGCAAAGTTTGGTAGCTGGGATAAGTTTCTGTGGGGCTGAAAAGTTTGAAAAAAGAGCAGAATTACAATCAAATTAATACGCGAGGCAGAGGTAATAAAAGCAGTCGTGAATAACAGTTGTGAGATCACGGGTGAGTTCAGAAGAAAAAAGGAAGAACACAGTAAATGGTTTAAAGTCACGAGATCCAGGAGCAACAGTTGATCGTTCATTCGCTCTGAAGAAGGAATAACGCTCCGGCAAAACATCCGCTTCAGAAAATCCTCACGGTGGGCGATTTACAAAATCAACCCAAGCGATAAAACCAAATTATCTTGTTGTACCCCTCACCAACGCAGTACCACAGTTTCTTGAAAAACTTACCCCCTTTATTGAGTTAATCGCGTTGTCTGATCGTTCGGTTGTGGGTAGCCCCGAGAAGGACTGTTATCGGTTGTCGTGACTGACAAATTTCTCAAAGTCATTTTCAGGGTCAAGTGAAGAATTGCAGTTGGTCGGTGTAATGAGTCTTGTACGTGTAAACACAGACTTAAAACACTCCTCTAACAAAAAGCTCTTTGACTATTCCAACCCATATAATCACACAATATGACCATCCCTTTAAGATATTTATTGTACATGCTTTACCTCCCATTCTTCGAATAATCGTACAAGGAAGCTAAATTGCTCTGACTGCAATGCGTAGAAATCGATCATAAGGAGAACACCAAGGGGATCTTCATCTGGGTCGAGACTGAAAAGAAATTGAATTAATCATTGCATTAACAGTTGTCGCGGTGCAAAAAGATCTGCCAACCGACCAGAACATCATTATGCCAATCAAGGTTTAGCAGGAATTAACTTAATCTACAATTTTTTATTTGACAAAAGTCGCTCGTACAAAAAGTAAAAATTCATACTCTGCAATAGATAAGTTTATTAAGTCTTCTATTTGGGTTTTGTTTTCACCATGTTCCAGGTCTGTCTCCCCTCCTCCTTCTTAAAGAGACTGTAAAGACGATTTTGAGAGTCAACTTACCAAAAAAGCCTTTCAATAACAGAAAAAAAAATGTAACAACCCAAAATTGAAAAAAAAAAGTAATCAAATTTCAGATTAATTTCAAAAATAATCTCACCTAAGCAAAAGCTTGCATAACTCCAAGGATGTTCTGTAGCAT